GCAGAACGAATGCCAAGGATGTTGGAAAGAATCAAGGTGTAAGAAATAAAGATAGTCAGGCTGGGCACTGTTACATTGACACCCACAACAATGAAAACCACCAGCTCATTGATGTAGGTACTTGTGCAGGAGAGCTTCAGGAGAGGAGGTATATCACACATGTAGTGATTGATGATGTTGCCATCACAGAAGCTCAGATTTAGCATGCAAACTATGTGGGCCATTGAACCCACAAACCCCATCACATACACACCAAACGTCATTAAGTGGCAGACCTGATAGGACATGGTGACCTGATAGAGCAAGGGCTTACAGATGGCAGCATATCTGTCATAGGCCATGGCTGTCAAAATATAACATTCATCTATAACAAAGAAGGCAAAGAAGAAGAGCTGAGTCATGCATTCTGCATGGGAGATGGTGTTCTGCTTCACAAAACTCACCAGCATTTTGGGAGTTATGACAGATGAGTAACAGAGATCTGTGAAGGAAAGGTTGAAGAGAAAGTAGTACATGGGTGTGTGCAGGTGAGGGTTCAAAATAATCAGAACAATCATGCCAAGGTTCCCCACCATGGAGACCACATAGATTCCCAAGAAGAGGAAGAAGAGAGGTATCTGGAGCTCTGGCTTCTGTGTCAATCCCAGCAGGATAAACTCCTTCACAGAACAGACATTTTCTGATGCCATTCCTTGGTTTATAGCTGTGAGAACAGTAAAAATATTAAAATTAGGATAAATTCAAGGCACTCTCCAAACTACCCAATTAAAATGAGACTAAGTACCGGAATGTAAGGATAAATTGAATCTCACACTTCTCTGTGAATTTGTTTTATACATTTTATAAGAGCTCATGTACAGAAGTAAAAATAAATATGTAAAGGCCATTTCCTTGGGAATAATATTCAGGCACCAGTGGCCATTTTTGGTTCTGAACCATTTCTGTCCTGCTTCTAGCTTGACAACCCATATCCCAATTCAGGCTCAATGGTCACTTCAAAAGAGAAGACACAAGGCACCTGAAAGACTCACTGGATTGCTCAGATGTGTTTTGATGAAAAAAAAAAAGCCAAACCAAAGAAAGAAGAAAGAAAGAAAGAAAGAAAGAAAGAAAGAAAGAAAGAAAGAAAGAAAGAAAGAAAGAAAGAAAGAAAGAAAGAAAGAAAAAAGATTGATTCAGTTTAGCACTTACCTCTCTCCCTGCAATACGTACAATTAACCTTGCTATCTCTTCTTGTCTCCTCCCACAAAGGGGCAAGAACAGGTAACACTGATGGATTGTCAGGCGTATAATGAGAGAAAAATGCTGTTTTCTGTTCTCAGCATTTGGGCTGTTTGGTGATAAGTGGAATTGATTCTGGACTGGATAAGCCAAGGATCTCCTTCCTCTAGATTCTAAGAAGCCATGATTTCTGGCTTGAGCTTTCCCCAGATGTCCTCTCTCACTCAGAAGTTGGAAAATAGCATCTTTTGATGTCACAAGTGCCACCTAGTAATGACCCAAGAGGTTTCTATGAGTTTTTAGTCTTAGAGACCTGAATAAAAGTTGAAAGGCTTGTGATTGCCAGTTATTGTCCTCAGAGATCTGGCTTTGCCACTCCAGTACTTACAAACTAGTTCAACAATAATGACATTGGCATATTGGAGGTATATATTGTCATTTTCTTTCAATGTGATTGTTTAAAATTTTATATACAAACACAATATGTTTTGATCAAATTCATCCTAATTCTTTTTCCACGATTCTCACCCATTATACTGACACTCTTCCCTCTCAACTTCACCTTTTCTTTTCTCTTACATTTTTTTAAACCACTGAGTCCACTCCACTGCCAGTATGTATATGAGTGGAGGGGTGTCTAAGTGAGTTTAGGTGGCTTCTCTAGTGGCACATGCTTGAAGAAAAATTACTAGGTTTATATGAGTAACTATCTACCAACAGTTCCTCAGTTGTAGGTAGAATGTTGTGACCATATCCTCCCTCCATGCTTGGATTTTGGTGGGCTTGATCTTAGCATATTTTCTCACTGTTGCAACCACTTTGAATGTATTTGAGCCGTGAACATGCTTAACCCTGAAAATGTAATTTCAGTTTAATCATCTATCACCTTTGGCTTTTTCAGTTTTTTAATTCCCACTTCCATTATAATCTGTGAGTCTTGAGAGAAATGTGGATGTCCCATGTAGGAGTAAGCACTCACAGTCCCTTATTGTCTACCTGATGACCAGCTTTGGATGTCTTTGTTAACTATCATCTACTGCCAAAGGAAGCACCTCTAATGAAGGTTGAGAGATACATTAATCCATAGGTATAACATATAATGGAATTCTATTGCTTTTCAGTTTAATAATATATCCCCAGCAGAGAAATAATCATAGGTACTTCTCTAGGACTTATGACCTATCTATTCTCATGCCCCAAGAACCATGCTAAGAAGGAGTACTGGTTGTGAAGTAAGCCGGATATCCAATCTAAAAGTGATTGGTTACTCCCCAACACTAGTCGGGATGGCCTGCCAGACCAACCTTTACTGTAGCTCTTAGTATTCACGCCTGATTATTGATTATTATAGTTCTCCTTTAATAACATGCAGAATACTTTAAAAGCTGGATAATACCAGATTCACCTCTCAACTTCTTACACAAGACATAGCAAATTTTCCAGTAATGTTATATCCTGCTATTTCTTTAACTGCACAGAACAGTTGAAAGGCAGCTATCAGGAAAGGCTCAGTTTTCACAAGCCTTTGAATCATGGTGAGGGACATTAATATTTGTGATGACTTCATATAACACAAGCAAAATTATCACACCTTCTTTTCAGGTCTGTGTGTTTGAGAAGTGGATAAAAGTTTGGCATTGTATGTAGGTCTGTATGATCTAAATCAATTGTTTTTATGTTTTAAATCACCAAAAAATAAAAAAGGTTCAAAAAGTACACATGTTAACATATAATGTTTTTAGAGCTAGACCAATACAAAAGCTAGTTTTAGATAGACACAAGCTCCATTTCCCCTTGTTCTAACTTGAATAATGGAGTCTTCTGAAATAGGGTCGAATCATCAAGTTTAGGGAAAATTAAGAGCACTGTATATACCTGTAATATTAGGGGATCTGTGGGGACACAATCAGCTAACAACTCCAAAAAGGTAGCTCATTCCTGGTTTTAGGTTTTATTTGCCAGCCTGTGGTATCTAGTAGAAACACTTTCTCCAAATGACAAGGTTTTTCAACTTAAACTCATTTTAGACATGAAAATATGTTAGGACATTTATACTGTATTTACACATGTGTTTCTCAAAGGTCTTTAGTGCTAGCTATTCCTCCTCAAATTCCTTCCTCTACTCTGCCCTCACATCTCCTGCCTGTACCAATCCTTTCAGCTCTATTAGTCCCCATTCTGCCTTCACATCATCTGTGCTCTAGTACTACCTGCATTTTATTTCTCCAATAGCTGAAATCTTTTATTCTTGCTTATAACTGTCTATCTTCATTCATATAACACATGTTTCTTTTTTTAGTTTACATATTTTTATTTTCATTTACATGTATATATTTGTGTTGGCAGAAGAGGCATTTGCGATAGGCCTGCAGGTGCAGCTTCAGGCAGAAGAGGGTGCTGATTCTCCCGGGGCTGGTGTCAGAGTTGTGAGCTGCCTCATGTGGGTCCTAGGAGCTGAACTTGGATCCTCTGCAAGAACAATACATACCCTTTGATACTAGCCATTTCCCTAGCCCTTGATACGATTTTTAATAACTTTTAAAAAACAGATCATTATTAGCCAATGATGACAAATCNGGAAAATGGGAGGCTGGGAGAAGGCGGAAACTTTTTTTTCTCAATAAAAAATTTAAAAAAAAAGAAACCTCTCACTGCAGATTTTTCTATTTAAGAGAAAAATAAATCCAGGAATTTCTCAAATGAATCTGAATTATTCCTGATACTAGAAAACTACTAAGAGACCAAAAATTCCTTAGGGCAAACTTGAAATGTTTCCTACAGGACAGACATTCCTGGGGGTCCCTAGTGATAAGGACTTGATGACTCATTAAAAATATGTTCTATATTAAATGTTAAATACTTTTTCTTTGGTTTGTTTTTGTTTTGATTTTTTTTTGGCCAACATGTTAACATGATATAACCCATTCATGGCATTGGAGGTTTTAGTTAGTGCCATATAATGTCTTGTTGGGTTTTGTCTCCCCCAAAATGGTGACTCCTTTTAATTAGGAAACTTCTACAATAGAAGCGTTTCACAAATTTTTTCAAAAATCCTTCACTGTTAGTTGCCTCTTTGCTTAAAGTTGTTTACCATATCCTCAGAATCTTGCAAACCTTTAGTGTTAGTTGTCCCATATTCTCTGGGAGTGTCATACAAATATATAGGTATGTATATATACATATGAACCTACATATACTGATTTGATGAAATCAACTCCTATTTCCTCATTCCTTCTTCGGATCTTTTTTCATGTAACTCATCTTCCTCTCAAATTCATGCCCCCTTTTGATAATATACTGACTCAAATTAGTGCTGTTGTGTCAACATGGGTGCAAAGCCACTGCCTGCTACATAGGCATCCTAGCAATGCCACTTGCTTAACAATACTGACTCTACCTACTCTATATCACCTATTGGGTGATATAGTAACACGGAATAAGAGGGACTCATGAACCCATACCACTAACCAAGGAACTATTGTTAGGTGATAGCTCTTAGTGGAAAGAGAATCAGTTTTCTTTGAGGATATAACCCCTGTCAGGTTGATCATGCTCAAGGGTTGACCCCACACCCATGAGTTTATGTCCTGCACATATAAAACTAGGTGGATTGTTTAAAAACAAAACAAAAATAGGAAATGAAATTGGGAGAGGATAGAAAGATAAGGAATGGATCTGCCTAAGGGAAGATTCAGCTGAATATGATAAAAGTACATTGTCTGATATTCTCAAAAATGAATTAAAATATTATATTAAAATAGAATTATAATACAGTGTCTAAAATATCTTTGCAAGAAAAATTTTCAATCAAACCATACCTAGACTTAAGGATTAAATTCTTTCAATTTTATGCCTCCAATGTACATGTGGATAAACATGGAGTGACTATAGACAGTTTCTAAGTCCATTTTACAATGATGCTGTCTCATCTCTTCCTTTTTTTCCATTTGCATTAGCTCACATCACTCTACTTCAATGACAGAAAACTATATCAAGTGGTAACCTCTAACTAAGGCATAGAGAACTTCATATTTCTTTTGCTATGATGCCTTACAAGCCTGACACTTTCATCTTTATCGGTCAAGGCTGATTTAACACAGAAAGTTTCATATTGCACTCTATTTTAATGACTATAAAATATATTAACTAAACTATATATCTCTTGATGCTCTTTAAATGCTTGAGGATAAATGTCAAATAAATTCATGTCTTAGTTTTAAAGCACTAATTTGGATGAACAATAGATGAGACAATGTACAAAATTTGAATAAACTTAAGGAATAAGAACAAAAAAAAGTAGCTTTCCAATGAAACATAGAGGAAACAATGAAAAAATAACTGAAAAAAGCTTCAGAGATACCTCAGCCAAATTCTGGAAAGATGGGAGCAAGCACAATTAGAAAAAAAAAATGAAGACATACAGCTAAGACCATCTATGTAAGAGACAAGTCCCACACAGTGAAGCCTCACAGCA